CGAAACATTGATGTCACTTTGGGACTTATCAATGGAACGATAGGCATTGTAATTGCGATTCATCGCTCTGTTGGAAATCGTATTGATTCCGTTACAATAGTTACTTCTGATAATAACAAGTCATAATAACGAGAGTAGATATTAAATTCGAAGTATTCCACAAAATAGTGGTACATCTGAAACAATTTCCATTGTCTCTCAGTTATGGAATAACTGTACATAAAAGTCAAGGAATTACGTGTAAAAATGCAATGATGGATTTAGGAACGAGTGTGTTCACTGATGGTCAAGTGTATGTAGGTCTGTCACGAGTGAGTACACTGGAGGGTTTACATTTGATAAATTTCAATCCGGCATCCGTTAGAGCAAACTCGGGAGCCGTTGCAGAATATAATAGACTGAGATCTGTGTTCAAATCTCAGCTACCACAAATCAATTCGTCCGAGAAAAAGGCTGTGAAAATTTACGACTGTCGATGGGCAATACCTCATATCATTGATGATGTACAGAATTACGGTTATGCTGAACCAGAAAGTATAGTTACATGGAAAATATTCGGCCTTTGCAATGACGATCGTGTTTCGTGCTATGCTAATGTAACATTGCAATGTGCGTTTCATTGTGTACGTATCAGGCAACAAATACTTAAAAATAGAGTATCGAACGCATTGACTGATGCTGTCTGCGCGTATGCTGAGCGTAAGCGTTGCAATATTTTAGCGATTAGAAGATCTGTCGGAGAACGCTTCGAAGAACGAACACAACAAGATGTTTCGGAATTTTTCACGGCTTTAATGTCGACGTATTCCGAAATCAATGATGTATTAGAAGTCGAATTGAAGCACCTAATATGTTGTTCAAATGCTAAATGTAATTGCAATGTAACTACGTTGGAAAAGAGTTGTTTGCTAATATTACCTATGCAGTCCACATTGAAAAGGAAAAAAGGTGTCACTCTGCAAACTTTGATTGATTCAGAATTTTCAAAATGGGAAACGATAAATGGTAATTGTGACGAATGTAACAGTATCGTTCTGAAAAAGAAAACCGCAATTGAATCGACTTCATCCGTCTTAGTAATACAGCTCAATTTATACACTTTTATAAACGGTGTTTCTAAAAAACTTATCGACAATCGGATTAACGCCGTACCGACGAGTAATGTCACGATTAATAAAAGAAAATACAAGGTAATAAGTGCTATATTTCACGAGGGCGAAGAAATGAATCGTGGTCACTATACGTGTATGTTGAGAACAGACAAACAATCGGAATGGTGTTACTGTACTGATTTACAAGTTATCAAGAAGAAATGGCCCAGAGGAGCACATGGGGCATATATGTTGTTCTTGGAGCAGATTAAGTAAGGATTAATTAATCTGCTCCAAGAATATAACAGAATTCTTAGAATATAACGGAATTCTTTGAGTACGTTTACGTGAACCTAAATAAATTTTTCAGAATATTATAACAATTAATCGTTTACTTTGGCGCTGTATAAGTCTGGATCTGCAATAGGATTTTAAGCCTTAAGCCATAAGAAATGGGCGACTGACAGTCGCTTATTCTTCTCGGATTCGACTGTAATTGGTCAATTTCTTACAACTTACGGCTTAAAACATTTATTGTAGGTCCGGGGTAAGGGCTGCTGTAAACGCGCCGAAATAAAGCGTCGATTGCTCTGTCGCAGTATTAATGTTGCCATTAGGGGCCATTTCACACAAACTTGCAGAGCCGCATAACCATATGCATAAGGAAAATTATTCATCAAGCAGGCCGCCATGTTCTTTTTCCGAGTCATTAACAAATTGGTACTCTGGAATTACAAGCAATTATTTTTCATTGTACGAGCTAGTATAAATTTTAAGTCAAATCTCAATAAACGACTTTTATATCTTGTGCA